GTCCCAGTGGCCTCCCTGACATCCCAAGGCAGCATTGATACGCTGGAGTGCTGCCTTCTTCTNCCCCCCCCCCCCGGGGGAGAGGTCGGGCTAGGTTCTGTACCTATGTCCCTAACGTACCACCTGTGCCAATAAACTCCTTCTAGCCTGAATTCTCATCTTGGTAACAACGCTTTGTGAACCTTTCAGAGCCAGATTCAGGGGCTTTACGCTTCCGCCCATGAGGGGACCCAACTCCAGACTGGGCGTTGGCTCCAGGGTTGCCAGGTAGTCTCTGAGTTGGGGTGGAGGCACAGAACGTCTTTGCAGGTGGGGTGGTAGTGTCCTTGGCTGACACCCAGAGCCTCTTTGTAGGCAGTCTGGTGGTAACCTTGGCTGCACTAGGATCCCTGCTGGGAGGGGAGCTTTGGGAGGAGACGAGGGAGGTCACAGGGCCAGCAGGTGGAGGGGCGGTTACTGCAGCTGGCAGGGGGAAAGAGTCAGAAGGTGGCCTGGCCCTGCAGTCCCAGTGGCCTCCCTGACATCCCAAGGCAGCATTGATACGCTGGAGTGCTGCCTTCTTCTCCCTGTCTAGGTCTTCAGCGGTGACTCGAAAACCTGGCTCGGGGCATGGTGGCAGCGTAAAAGATCCCCCTTGCCTACGCGGCAGCAGAGGAATCTTGCGTTTCCGGGGTCTGGAGCTGTGGACTGTGGGCGAGGAGATCTTAGAGGGCAGTTCCTGCCCTGTTGCTGCACCTGGGCTCTTCCTCTGGCAAATCTCAGTAGCTAAAATGGAAACGTGAGGGCCCTCATTTCTCACTTTTGAGGCCTGACCCTTCCTCCTCTGCAGCAGTTGGATACTTGAAGTCGAGCTGTAGGAGCTTGTGATGGCATTTCATTGGTGGCAGGAGCTCAAACAACAGGTGTGGGGCATCTTATATGTGGCTGCCAGCACCTCCCCTGGAGGTTCCTCTGCAGAGGCCCATGCCTGGGCAGGAAGGAAGAAAGGGCTGCATTGACCCTAAAGGGCCTAAATGCTGACTGTGTACAGCCAGTGCCAGCACCTTCAGTGCCCCATCTCTCACCCTCCTGCTTCTCTGTGACTTTGGGGTCTTTCTCTTGCTCAGCCTTTTCTCTGATGCTCTCTCCAAGGGCCCTCGTCACACTCTTCGCTGTGCAGGAGTCTTGTGCACAGTTGGGTGTCAAGTTGAAGGACATCTTGAGACTGTGAGCAGACAGTACCTGCATCCCCTGATGGAGACGTCTGTAGATGGAAGTAAGGACCCCCAGCAGGGAACACAGTATCTGCAGGGCCACAGGACATCTCCTGGCAGATGCTTTGTCACAGCACCTGTGTGACGCTCCTGGGTACCTGTGGGATGGCCCGCTGTTGATCCAAGGGCGTGGGCTGCCGGGTGGATCCGGCCAGCCGTGGGAATTCTGCCAGTGGTGTGAGTGGGCTGCGGGTGTATGAGCCCTTCTGGCAGGACATTGCCCCCCCAGGGCAGGGGGCACGGGTGCGGGGCAAAGCTTGCCCATGTAGCAACCCATGTTGAAACTTCCAGTTGTGGAAGTTTCTCTTTGAGTAAGTAAGAGAACTGAGCACTGCCACTGCTCCTCGAGCTGCCAACTCAACCAACTCAGCCAACTCGCAAAGGTTGGAATGTTTGGCCGGTTGCTGGGACGACCGATGCACATGCACAGTATGTGCACAGAATGCGCATGCAGAATGTGCACGTGAGCGTGTGTGTAACAGACATGCGAGGAACAAGCACACGCAGGGCATATGTCAGGAGCAGGCGCGTGCAGAAGATTGTGGAGCAAGAGGGGCGCGTGCCCGTGACACAGGCAGGACAGGCCCATCTGACCTGCCTTTCCCTCCGAGGTATTTAACCAAGAGAAATAAAAACTTAGGTCTTCATAAAATCCTGTATGCGAATGTTGTAGCTGCTTTATTTGTATCTTCCAGGAGTAGGACTACTAACACCCAATTTTTTAAAGTGATTTTGTCATAGTTTTTAAGTTGTTTTGGGAGGGCATAGTACTATCAATATATAAATCATTTCACACTCTACTTAGGGTTAATATTTTCCCAATTGAAGTGACCAAGGCAGCCTTGAAGTTCACCTCAGCTTGACTGTAGGTCCCTGTGCTCCCTCTTCTTAGAGCGTTTACTTTAGACAACTTGTAAATGTGCATTATTTCTCAGCTTCTTTGAGATGGAAACTTGAAAAAGGCCTCTTGGCAATTTTAGAACCCAGGAATGTCTTTCTCAAAGACTGGGAGCCACCCTTTGAAATGGAACCATCCAGGAAGACAGGGCCCCCATCTCCCGGTCTCTGCGGGAGGGTTGGAGCCAAACTTTAGTGGGCACAGGTTAGCCAACACGTGTGGCTTGATCACAGAGAACATCATTTGCCAACTCAGGAAGAACTCAGTGTGCTGGAAAACACAGCTCCCATCAATCCACCTTCCTGGAAAGTCCTCCAGTCCTTTCCCACCACCCACTTCAGTGCTTCAAAGCCCTCCCGCCTTTTGTTTCAATGGAGCTAAGCTCTGAGTGAGCTCTGGCCTGCTCCCCCATTGCAATAGCCTCGTCTAACATCTTCCTTGTCTGATCAACTTTGTCTGGTGCAACTTTGGCTCCAACAAACGTACAAGGCGGAAGCCGTGGATCCATACAGATTCTTTTACCCCCTGCGCTCTTTATTAGAGTTGTCATACGTATTCCATCCGCATTAATTAGTCCCCACCTCTGAGACAGTGGTAACATTTTGGCATTGAAAACTCACATGATGTTCAAGAATTTAAAAGGAAAAGAATAGTCTGCGATAGTTTACTGTGTGTGTTGCAAGAAGTTCCTTTCCCACCATTACGGGAGGTCTGTGAGTGCTGTCTGGAGGTGAATTCTCCCGGTTTACCCCATCTTCACGAGCCTTTGTGTGTGTTTGGTTTTGTTCGCCTTCCCTCCTTAAGGATGTCCCTGCCGCGTCTTGTGTGCTGGGCTGCTGGGTCTCTTCTTTCAGTGCTTTCACGACGTTCTTCCGATCCCTTCTGGCCTCCTCGTGTGAGCACTCACACACCTGTGTCTTCACTGCAGCAACTAATTGCACGCACACTTTAGACACCTACTCTTTTTTCCCTTTCATATACTGTAGATCTGTCACCACGCCAACAGATACTCCCTGGGTCATGTTTCTAAGGCCTCAATATGCGTAGCATGGTTTGTACTATTAAGGACTCAATATGCGTAGCATGGTTTGTACTAAAAAATCATCAATGACTGCCTTGTTTCCTTTAAATTAACACAGTTGACTGGACCCTAGCAGTCTAGCTGTAGCCTCACTGTGAAGCTTCATGTCACCAACCGGTCCCTCTTCTGTTAGGTGTGTCCTGGGCTGCCTCCACCTGCTCACTGGCCAATGCCTTTCCNCTCCCGGTTTACCCCATCTTCACGAGCCTTTGTGTGTGTTTGGTTTTGTTCGCCTTCCCTCTTTAAGGACGTCCCTGCCGCGTCTTGTGTGCTGGGCTGCTGGGTCTCTTCTTTCAGTGCTTTCACGACGTTGTTCCGATCCCCTCTGGCCTCCTCGTGTGAGCACTCACACACCTGTGTCTTCACTGCAGCAACTAATTGCACGCACACTTTAGACACCTACTCTTTTTTCCCTTTCATATACTGTAGATCTGTCACCACGCCAACAGATACTCCCTGGGTCATGTTTCTAAGGCCTCAATATGCGTAGCATGGTTTGTACTAAAAAAATCATCAATGTCTGCCTTGTTTCCTTTAAATTAACACAGTTGACTGGACCCTAGCAGTCTAGCTGTAGCCTCACTGTGAAGCTTCATGTCACCAACCGATCCCTCTTCTGTTAGGTGTGTCCTGGGCTGCCTCCACCTGCTCACTGGCCAATGCCTTTCCCAATCCATGTGGCTGTTTCTTCCTCATGGGACCCTACTGGGCCTTCAAACAGGAGCACCCGTCCCTCCTTTTCTGTCTCCCCTCCTGTCCCTGCTTCCCTTTTAGGCTAGGAGCAAGAAATCAATGTCTGTTGAAGCCACCCAGCCGACGGTGTTTTGTCATCACAGCCTGAGCCGACGAAGGCACTCACTCTGAGACCACGAGGACATACAACTCGTGATCCCTGTGCAGCCCCCAAAATGCCAAACATCCTTCTCTCTTGGCTGAAATGAGTGGCTGCTACTTTGTCACCAGTCACAGCTCTACCCTTGCTCTTGTCCACCCTCCACATAGATACCGAGCTAACCACTGAGAGCATTTCCCCCACCTTTCAACAGCATCCAATCTAGAGCTTCCTTAGACTGTCTCCTAAATTACACAACTACAGTTTCTTTTTAACACCCTCTTACAGACACACTCCGTGCATCCTCCTGGTGCATGCTCTCCTTCGATGGAGTGAGGAATGAACATAACTTGTTCAACTGCAGGTGTGTTCCTGAAGGGAACCCCTGGATCCCTTGTCCCAGCAGAACGAACTCCTCTTGGCCTCACTCTTGGGAATGCCCCTGCTCGTGGAGGCCCTGCACTCCTGAAGCCCCCAGGCTGCCATCACCCTTGTTTTCTGCATATCTAAAACTTCTTCAACCTTTAATGCCTCCCCACCCAGCTAAAGTCTTCCTGGTGGATTCCAGCTGAGCCCATCCCCCCTTGCTTTGCTTCTGCAGCTGATTATTGGCAGCTTCCTGTGGTCCTGATGTCACACGGCTTCATGGGACCCTCACTACTCTGGAAGCTACCAGAGAGCAGAGACAGGGCCTCACTCTTCCTGGAAGCCTAAATGTAGACTGTGACCCCTGAGGGTTCTCTCCAGACCCCTGTAGGTTACCGCCTCACTCCTGCTGGCTCCTCGTGGGCAGAATGGGATGACGACACCCCACAAGGCCAAGTGTGTGAGGCAGGGGCTGATGCCGAACAGAGACCGCAGGTACCCAGCGGGGACAGGGAGGCCAGGCTCGGGAGGGAGTGGCCGGGGCAGGGGGATGCTACACTCACCTTTCTTCATGTCTCGAAAGGCCGGGTGGTTGTAGCAGTAGGGGCACAGCAGGTAGCTCTTCTCCCGAGAGCCCAAGGACCACAGGACCAGCTCAAAGTCATCGAGTGGGCACTGGAACTCCCAGTAGAGGTTGATGGTGCCATTCTGGCGGAGGGTGCAGGTCTCATCATAGTGGGAACAGTGTAAATGGCTTGGCTGGGCCTGCAGCAATGCCAGGGAGGGGCACGAAGGCTGCTGGGACCACCGACTCTCAGAAGTGCTGATATGAGGCGAAAAACAAAATTGTTCTTAGCCGAAAGACAGGAAAACCTAAATCAGGTTGGAAGAGAAAATTTCAGGAAGAACTAGGCTTATGTTTACAGCCTCAAAACTCTAAACAGGTAAAGCAGGTCCTGGTAAACAGCCTCGTGTACATTGAGCCCCAAAAAAAAATTTGAAAAAAAAAAAAAAAAAAAAAAAAAGTAAAGGCATCCATTACTAAGTATTTCTCACTGACCATTTACAGGGTGTGATCATTACATTAGGCTTGTTTTTGGAAGCTACAAAAACACCCACACCTAATGAGTAGTCTCTTTCAAAGTGACCCTCCAAAGGGTAACATGGGATCCAAGCACTACCATTCTTTTGCCCACTACAGAACTTCTTGAGAATGTCCTTCAGAATCAGATAGTGAATGGTACACTAACTGATCTTCAGTGAATAAATAATCTCTTGCTTTATAATCATGCCTCTTTATTTAAAAAGCTAAACAAAAATTACCTGATCGCATCCTTTATTCATTGAACTTTGCTTTGAATGACTCTGAGCTATTATTTCCAATTGAATCTATCATATAAAGTATTTTTACTACTAAGATTATTGAAATGAATATATACAAGCAATTCCAGAACGTGAACTCAAGAGCAGCTTGGGTGATGCCTTGTTGGAATAAGTTTACAGCCTCCCACATGGACAATGCTGAATGGGCATCAAACTCACAAAAGTCTGGGTGCCCGACCAAGATCATCCCCAACAGTTTATTGTTATATTTCATATGAGACCCAAGAAATAACTTTTAAGTGGTTTTACATCTTAGCACCAGTTCACGTTACTACAAATTCGGTTGATACATATTTTCATTTCCTTGTAACAAAAAGAAAGAACGATTATTTTTAATTGTTCTTAAAAGAATAAGAAAATCTACACTTTATATAACTTATTCGACTTGAATATCTCAGCTCAGAATACACGAATTCAGTGAAAGGTAATTACCAAGAGCTTCCAGCAATGAAATACTTACGCCATGGTGCCTGAGAGGTGAGACATATCGGCTGTTATGTAGGACAAATAACTGTACAGGAAAACAAAGAGTGGCTCAATCACTCGGATAGTGTGTGTGAAGTGGGTCGTAAATGCCACTGTGAAGCACAGGAAGATGCCCATCAACACCCCACCGATTCTCACAACAAAGAGGTTAGCAATTCCTGCAATGATTTTCATCACGCAAAAGGACTTGAACAAGTTGCACAGGACCCGTGGGAGAAAGAAAACACGCTGTCAAGTCTGTTCCAACTTCCTCCTCATTATTCTTGACATAAAAAAATCTACCTGAGGGCCGGCCCGGTGGCGCAATGGATAGTGCGCCGCTTGGGAAGCATGGCGACGCTCCCGCCCGAGGGTTCGGATCCCACAAACGGACCGGTTCCCGCTCACTGGCTGAGCGA